AAGTTGCTTGTTTGACTGTGAATGGGGTGTCTGTCCTGCCGGTTATTGCTGTTTGATCTTGTGTTCCAGGAAGTGTCGTGGAAGCTGAAGATTCTGATATGGGTTTGTGGCCGTTGGGCCTTGGAGCCCTGGGAGCAGCAATCACCAGCGCGCTCCTGGCAAACACTGATCTCTTGCTGTCCCAAGCTGACACTGCAACACTGACATACCTGTCAGGGGCCTCACTGAGAACCTTGGATGAAGGCAAGTTTACAAGTCAAAGTACAAGAAACAACAGTGATCTAACCACTGCCATGACTCATCTGGTATCCCTCTAAGTCTGGGTCAGAAGATAATGGATTCCACCACCCCACCCTGCCTCTCTCTAACCCTGGCAAAGACTTGAGTAACGTAATCCAGGGCAGTAAGAGGAAATGCTACAGTGCCTGAGGTGCTCTTATTTGGATGGGACATTAAACCAAGACACTACCTAGCATCTCTGGTATGTGTGAAAGATCCCATGGCACCATTTCAAAGAAGTGCACTCTCCCCATTGTCCTGGCCTGTATCTATTCCCCAATTGCAGAAAGAAATTACTTGCTCATTTCATATTGCAGTTTGTGGGAGCTTGCTGTGTGAAGTGTGGCCACCACATTTTTTTATTTATTTAGTCAGCAGAATATGTCATCCCTAATTGCTTTTGAGCGGGTGGTGGTGAGCTGCAATCCATGATGTGTAGGTACGTACACTGTGCGGTAAGGGGGCGGCTCCAGTATATTATAACCATGACTATATTTTGAAAGTACTTTGCTTGCTCTAAACGTGATGTGATTGTTATTCACATGCAAGTCTTTCAGTTCTTATTCATTCTCTTCCCTCCAACTTGCTTCTTTGTTGGCATGAGAATGTCTGTCTGAATTTTAATTGTTTTCTTTCTCAAGACATTCGTGGTGCTGTCCTGTTATCCTTTACTGCCAGTGTTTCATGGCCTTTTGTCTTTTCGTTGATGATGACATTGACTTTTAGGTTTGCAATGCTCACTTTTAAAGGTGGCAACAACATTTAATTGTAAATTAGATCAAATTTAAAAAAAGTATACCCAACTGGAGCCTCATCGAAATCTTGCATTTAATTTAATTTAACCCTCTATCATTTATGTTTCATGTATTGGTGCTTAAAATCCTTTTTTCATTTCTCAGAATTTTTCTTGTCTCACCATCCGCCTATCTCAGTGTGTGCAATATCTGTGCTGCCAGTGAAACTGGCTGCAGTCACTATTGAACATCAAACCGACAATGAACTACTCCTTCACTGAGATCATCTGTATCCTAACCCCATTCACTGCCTTGGCTCAGTATTCCTTACCTTTTTCCTTATTAGGGGCTGTATCAATCTTGGGTTTGAAATAATTATAGCTAACCTCTACTGCTTTTAATTAGAGAGAAGTTCGGCCATTTTCTCCGTATGGCCCAGCTCTAATTTTTGTAGACTCTCACACCAGCCGGCATAGGTTTTATCAGTCCTTTCATAATCCTAAGAACCTCAACCAAGCCACCTCATAACGTTCTGAATTCAAGATTCTGTGAATTCTCCGCACAAATTAATTGGATTGCAGTGGTCATTCTAGGACTGTACTTGCACCTAGGTCAATACAGTATATCCTTCCAAAGAAGTGGTGCCCAGCAACTCCTCCAGGTGTAGTCTAATCAGGGCTTTGCAGACATTTTTACTCAACCTGGTCAGGGATGTTATTACACACCTCTGGAGCAGGTGGGATGTGAAGGCAGACTTCCTGGCTCAGAAGTAGGGATACGACCAAAGAATCACAAGAACTCCTTACCAGAACTTTGTATAACTTCAATGTATTCTATTCCTCAAGATACAAAGATGAGCAAGTGATTATTTTCTGAATCTGTTTCTGACATTTTAATGATCTATGTGCCATGATGCTAAACCCCACTGAATATCCCCGTCCCTGGCTTCAGAGCATTTGGAAAGTGCCCTCTTTTACCATATTAATTCCAAAATAGTTAACGTCATACATGCCACCCTTGAAATCCATTTGCCACAATTTTGCCCATTTATGTAATCTATCAATATCTCTTTGTAATATTATGCTTACATGTAAACTGCCTAAAATGCTGCCTGCCTTTGTATCACAAGTAAACTTGTCCCATCATTTAAGCCACTAATGAATACAGTAAATAGTGGAGACCCCAACACAAATCCTTATGGGACACTATTCTTCACATCCTGTGGTTAAAGTATTCCTTATTTCTGCCTCACTTACCCTCACTTCCGCAAGCTTCAACTTGAGCTAACAGTATCTTCTGCAGGACTTTATCACATTGCTATCTAAGTAGCATTCCCTAAATGTTTCACTTGTAACTTGCTTAAAAACAATTATTCAGTGCATTAGGGTGAGAATTCATTCATCCATATTGCTACCCTACACGATTGCCTTGTCCCTTCTCTTGAACTTCCTATATTTACAGACAATGATGACCAGAATGTGACAGAAAGGGACAATGTACAGACCTAAGAGTGCTCTGGCAAATAGGCCAGCATACAGAAAAATGGTGAAAAGGTAGAATTAAAGGCTGTTTATTTGAACACATGCAGCATCCATCTAAGATGAATGAATTGACAACACAAATATAAATAAATGGGTATGATATAATAGACATCGCAGATGGACAGTTGCAAAATGACCACGGCTGTGAACTGAATATTCAGTAGTTTTTTGACATTGTGGAAAGATAGAAAGGAGTGAAAAGGGGTGCAAGAAATGTGTACGTTTTCTGTATTCACCAAATGTCTCCCTGAACGTTCCTTCCACTCACTGTTCAATAATTTTAAATTGATTTCATCTCTCTGACTTTCTAGAGAAAAGGAGATTTGAGGCAGGCGAGCTGTGGATGCAGACTGGTGCAGTCATCATGGCAGTGCGGAGACCCGGATGATTCTTGTGCCGAGAGGTACTGGAATAAGAGTTTGCTTCAGAATAACATTCGTGCTTATCAGTGTCCAAGGCTATTGCTTCACTCTCCAGGCAGAGATGCTTCTGTGAGAACTCCTTCCATCCCCCATCACAGTCATATTTCTACATTAAAAGCATTATATAAATGGGGATTGTAATTGGACTGGAAGTGGTGACCGAGGTATAGAGGGGTGAGGTAATGAAGGGATTTGAAAACAAAAATTAGAACTTCAAAATTAAAGAATTATTTGTCCAGAAACCAGTCAGCAAAGGATCATAGGGTGATGTGAAAACAAACATGTGGATGAACTCTGAGGCAGAGAAGCAGTCAGATAGCATTACTACAGAACACAGTTGCTCCTGATACTGGAGCGGATGTGTGCTTAGAAACCCAACACAGGGTCGATGTTAGAGCAAGACAGTGCACAATTGGGCTTAATCTCAGCCACTTGTCAGGAGGGGATGCAGTTAGCAGCAGGGCTGGAAAGCAATGACTTAAATCTTCCTTATATTTAATTGGAAGAAATTTCCACTCCTGCTGTACCGGATGTCAGATGAGCAGTCCGATAGTTTCGAGACAATGGAAGAGTTAAGAGAGGGGGTGCTGGTGAGGCAGGAGCTGGTGTTCATTGTTTGGGTGTGAAAATTAACACTACTTTCAGATGATGGCACCCTGGGGTAACGTGTAGGGTGAGGTAGGAGGGGCTGTGGATAACTCCTTGGGGAAACACCAGTATTGGTGCAGCAACTGGAGGAGAAATCAGTGATGTTGATTTTCCGTCTATGATCTGCTAAGAATGGAACCAGGAACGAACAGTTTCACCTGGTTGGAGAGGTGTTGCACAGGGTAGGTGATTGACTGGATCAAAGGACAAGAAAGCCACGGAAAGCAAGTTTACTTTTGTCATATTCATGTAGGATGTCACTTGTGACTTTTGATAAGAGCTGCTTCAGTTCTGATTTAGGGACGGAAACCTAAATAAAGGGTTTCAAACATGGATTTGGGAAGTGACAACCTGTTCAAAGGCTTTGGAATGGAACGAGAGGTTAGATATGAAGCATTAGCTTTTCCCCTGGTGACCAGAAGGGCAAGTTGAATGGGAACAATTTAGTGGAAATAGCATTAAAAGGCAGTACAAGGTGAGACTTTTAGACAAAGATGTGTTTTGGAGATGGCATGAGGGGAAATCAGAAAGAGGGGGAAAATGGGTTTGAGGTCTGAGAATTAAAGTCTCAAGTTACTGAAAAAAAGGAGTCATTATTCATAAGCAATTTAAAAATAGTTCATCTTTACTAAGAAGTGGCAGTGTAGATGTGATATAAAGGCTAAATATCCAGGAAGTGACAGAATAGTTCACTGATACCAGAGGACAGGCAGAAGTTGGTACAGACTGTGTTGATTTCTTTATTGACTTGCAAAGTCAGGAATGTCAGTTTGCTTCTCCAGCTTGAGGTCAGCTTTATCGTTTACGTCACACTGCGGATCAACTCCTGGAGGTTTCAAAGCACTTGCAAAGATAAACAGGTACAAAGGCGCCCTCCTATCAACATTGGAATGTCAACAGGGAAACTGAGCTGACAGACCCTGACTTTTCTGGGCACTGTTTCTGTACACTTCCAGAGAGAGAGAGAGAAAAAAAAAACAGTTTCTCTACTCAGGTGGCCCTAAACTGTGGTAGCGATTCTAAATGTCTTTCTATATTAATGCTAAAAACTATCATCTAATAAAGATCCAATTTTTTACCAGGGTAAGCTTGGGGAAGCTTGGCCTGGTGGAAGATAGTAGAGTAATGAAGGCAGCTGAACAATGGCCTCAGTCTGTGTTAGAGGTGAGGGTATATATGTTGAAGGGTTGGTTGGATTGGAATGTATGGCTGTGGGCAGAGAGAGTGGGAAATGGGTGGGGTGAGGAGACAATGTATGGAGGGATGGGTGTGGGGTTATCCAGAGCTGACCTCTGGCTCTGGTAAGATAGCGTCAATGATTGTTGTCTTCTACTATTATGGATCTCATAGTGTTGACAAAGAAATATCTGCAGAGTCTGGTGAGGTCGGGGAAAAAGTTAACTTTTTTTGAAGAACATAATGATCAGTAACCTTACATCTAATAGGTGCGACACCTTATTAAGAGGCTATAAGAGAGAACAATATACTTTCTGAATACTGCTCACTTCCTGTGATGGCATTATTTGCATATCACACAATAACTCACTTACAATTTAACCACAAGCACTTTCCCTTATTGTTCCCTGACTGAATACCATTTGTTCCTCATCTATCTGCCTAATCAGTCAAAGAGACAACCAGCTGTTTCTGGGGCTGTTTGTCCTGGAGAGACCCATTAAAGCATGACACCCCCCCCGCTCCCAGGCCTGATGAGGATGAACCTTAACACCTCCCCTTGCTTCCAAGGCTTGAGCTCTCAGGACTGGATGGGGTGAGGTTTGACCCCAGGCCCAGACAGATAGAGGCCTGAGTCCCTGCAGCAGAAGCCATATGTGACTTCTGCTGATTTATGTGCCATGCATCCATTCCCTGCTTCACTGACTTTGTTGCCCTGGTGAATCCTCACAATCAGTTCCTGTCTCTGTGCCATTCCTTAAATTTCACTCACTGCCAGAGTCTGAGCTACACAATGGCTGTGAGTGTGACGTTAGTGTCTTTCTTCTCTTTCCTCTTATGGTCCCACATCAGTGCTTGACCAGGTGGCTGCTCATGGGTATTTGAAAGGAGAGCGGCATAAGCTGGTGAGAGGAGGTTGGTGCCATCTGCAGCTTCTAAAGCCTTGTAGCTGAAGGAATGATCTGGGTTCCTAGGGAAGGCTAGCACCAGTGCAGAGACAGAAAGGAATGCACTACCAGCCAGGCTGTACATGAACCAAGCTGGGAATAGAGTGACCATGAGGCTTCAAACTAGTAGATGGGGTAGCTGTTTGCCAGATGAACAAAGTTATTTTAAATAATAGCTCAGAAAACAAAGGGAATAAAATTGAGTAACATACACAATATCAGTGGAAAGTGGACAGTTTAGTTAAAGCAGGAGAGAGAAATCAGAGAAATGCAAGTAGGACATTACAGTTGAGTAACAGCTTTTGGTGTATAATCCAAATGAGTGTTCTTTATAGATATAAATAGTGATGAATAGGTTGCAGGCCCAAATTTAACTTGAGTACAGCATGGCTGGACACTGAATTAATCAAATTATAAGGTTTACAGGAAAGAGAGAGAGGGTCCATGGTCTAGGGAGGGACACAACCTTTAATGATTAAGGATGTTATCACTTCGTTGATATGAGAGGCCAAAACCCAGTGTTGGACACCACAAGCGGGGGAGGAAGGATAATCTGCTTGGACACCAAGAGTTAAGTTCCGAGGCGAGATTAAACAAACCAGCGTATTCACTGGAATTTAGAAGATTAAAGAGAGATTTGATCACATTTTTCCAAGTATTAAGGAGCAGAGACTATGTGCAGAGAGAAACAATTAGGATGGGGAATCTAGTGCCAGGGAACATAATCTAAATCTCTGAGCCAGACCTTTCAGGAGCGAAATTAAGAAGCCCTTCTATGCACAAAGGGTGATAAGTATTTGGAACTGTCTACCACAGATGGCAATTGGTGTTTGATCAGTTTATAATTTTCAAACTGAGATTGAGGGAGTTTTGTTATAATCTGTCCTGTGTAAATGTAGTTGAGTGTGAAGTACATAGACACATACTTTGTGAGCACCATGCATGAATACTGTGGGTGGTTTCAAGGGTGTTTGTCTCCTGGGATGTAAGTTTTCTTCTACGGATAGCAGTGTGGAGGAGGTATGTGGCTGCTACTCCTGCTTTTTCACTTTACAAAGCAGAATCACAAAATGTTCACTTTCATAAAATTACCAATTACATTTACAACATATGATTGGCACCCCATTCACTCCCTCCACCACCAACACACGATGTGTACCACCTACAAGATGTAATGTGGAGATTCATCAGGGCTCCACAGACAGTACTTTCAGACATGAACACAGTAATGTTGTATAAGACCATAGTAATAGGAAAACGAGTAGGTCATTCAGCCCTTCGAATCTGCTCCACTTTTCAATAGGATCATGACTTATCCAACATTCTTCACATCCACTTTCCTGCTCTTTCCCTGTTACCCTTGATTCCCTACTGACCAGGAATCTATTTCAGCCTTAAATAGACACAAAGACTGTGGCCCCAGAGCTCACTTTGACAAGGAGTTCTAAAGACTCTCAATCCTCAGAGAAGAAATACACCAAGAAATATTCATCTCAGTCTTAAATTGGCACCTCTTTATTCTGAGACTATGCCCTCTGGTCCTAGATTCTGTCATATGGGGAAACATCCTCTCGGCGTTTACCCTGTCAACCCCCTTAAGAATCTGAATTGTTTGATTGAGATTATCTCTCATTCTTCTAAACTCCCGTCAGTAGTGTCCCAACCTGTTTAACCTTTGCTTATAAGGTAATCTGTCCACACTTGGGATCATCCAAGTAAACTTTCTTTGAACTGCCTCCAATAAAATGATATCTTTCCTTAATTAAGTGGGTCCAAACAGCTCCAGAAGTGGTTTCACTTAGCACCCTGTACATTTGCAGTAAGAGTTCCCGTGTTTTTACACTCCACCTTCAAAATGTTGTCCCTTACTCCATTAGCCTTCCTGATTATCTGCTGCACCTGTGTGCTAGCTTATTGTGTTTTGTGCACAAGTATCCCCAAATCTCTTCATGTTGCAGCTTTCTGCAGTTTTTGTCCATTTAAATAATATTCTGTTTTTTTTCTTTCCAAAATGAACACCTTCATGTTTTCCCACATTGTTCTCAATTTGCCAACTTTTTACCCACTTACTTAACCTTAACTAATCTCTGTAAACTGTTTGTATCCCTCTTGCAACTTGCCTTTCCAGCTATTTTTGTGTCATCTGCAAATTTGGCTGCAGTACATTCGTTTCTTACCTCCAAGTCATTAAAAATGTTGTAAGTAGTTGTGGTCTCAGCACTGATCCTTGTGGAACC